ATTAAACACCACCCACTGGCTCGGGATTTCCGCATTCCTGAGAAAGTCCCTTGGATTTATATGTGAACACTACACTGCCCATTCGAGACCGAACTCACGCCATCCAGCCCGACCAAACCCTGACTGTGCCGACGCTAGTGTGTCTCTGTTCAAGCGCCTCGCGATTTTTATCTTGAGAGGCGCTATAGAAATGATATTTTCTTCTTCTTCTTCTTCTTCTTCTCCGTCCCTACACCCCCAGCAGGTCCCTGAGGTCCAGTGATCAAAGCCAACAAGTTGTGCAGCACCAGGCTAAAGACCAAAGGTTACAGATCATCTGCTGCTGTGGCCCCCAGACTCTGAAACTCTCTATCCCTGAGCCTGAGATCAGTGGACTCAGTGGTCTCCTTTAAACTCACCTGTTCAGGCTGGTTTTGGTGTGAACTTCATCACCCTCTCCTTGTTCTGCTCTCCCTATCTATTCCACCTTCCTTAGGATCCACTGATTTCCCTCTTTCCTATTCACTCTCTCTTTCTTTAAAATTTTTTATCACAATTGTCTATTTTTGCTCATTTTAAATATATTTTAGTCATTTTCTAAATTCTTTTTTATATTTTACATTTTTTGTTTTTGTGAAGCACCTCGTGATTTTTATCTTGAGAGGCGCTATAGAAAAGATCTTTTCTTCTTCTTCTTCTTCTTCTTCTTCTTCTTCTTCTTCTAAGAGCTTTTGTTGTAGATATCACTCGCAAGCATTGCACAGAGGCTTTGACCTTGGGGTCAATAGAGAGGATGGTTCCAAATGCTTGCTCACCGGTTGGCCGAACCAGGAGGCAGCTGGAGAGCTGAGGAATCAGGAAGTGATTCCTGTATTTATCAAATGTTTACAAATTCTAGGCAAATCAGAATTCGACAAGTTTTATAGGGCGTTAACAAAGTCCTCAGAAAATCACTCCTTCACTCAGATACTCAGAGAGGTTAACTCTTAGTGTGAAGCGAAAATGTTATAACATTTATTTGGAGCAAAAAGTGTTAAACATTAATACTAATTCTGTTATTATTGTTCACACTGGTAGATTAAATGACTAGAATCAACAAATACTGATCTGGTGTCATTTAATATCTGAAATGGACCATTACAGGAAACATTCATTTTAACACATCGTTGATTAATGCACGCATTATTCATACACTTTGGGATCCAACAAGAGATGATTATATGATACCTATGCAACTATAAAGTTTTAAGAAACAAAGACTTGACAGCTCGTTTGAAACGATTCAGGGATCAATTTTGGACCATTTAGACCTGGGCTTTTCTTTGAATCAAGAGCAGATAGAGGTACTTAAGTCCTTTATTTTAAAAAAGGATGTATTTGCGTCTTCTTTGACAGTGTAAGGCAGACTGCTCCAATGACTGACATTCGTAGCAGTGAATATGTCACATCCGTGGTCCAATAGCATGCAAAACTGTTTGAGAGACTATCGTAAGAAAGTAGTTCCACATTCAAACAGCAGTGTTTTTGATGAAAATAACATGATAAGTGCTCTCTTGTGGTTGATTCCAGTACATGTTTTAAGCCCTGTCTCCTCCATATAAAGGAAAGAAACATTGTCCTCCATAAAAAACAAAGAAACCTTGTTTCTGTTTCCAACAAAGAAAGTTAACTGATAGCTGCAAAACCTGTGCTAGAATACAAAGATCAATAGATTTCTCCCAAAACATCATCAAACACCAGCCTGTGGTTGAGCTGAACCTTCTGAGTAAAGTGTATTCTTGTCTCTAGTTTGTATAATCAAATGTGTGAACAAACGCTTTACTGTCTGCAGGCGGTTCCCACCCAGGCAGCTCAGAGGTGAGGAAGTTTACCACCTGCTGACGGTCCCAGAGCATGAAAGGAACTGATGCAAGCTTCAACTTTCCACTTGTGTTTTAAAACCTCTGAGAGAACAAGTCAGTACAGATTAAAGTACCTTGAGATCGGGTTAGACTATTAAACCATTTAAGCAGCTGGATCTATCACCAAAAGTGTCCTGCAGCCATAGAGGAGTACTGCCATCTAGTGTTGGGAAGTGCTCTCCTCGCTCTCACGGCACTGACCCTTCAGCATCTGTTTGCTGTAAAAGGCCACCTACTTTGAGATCCGTATGTCCCGACTCGCTGTAACAAAACGGGGATTTGCTTTGGTGGTTGAAATAAATCACAAGTTTAGCATGAAATTGCAAACATTCTTGAACCTGAGAGGTAGGGTAAAACAAACGCATGACCTGTTTCTGCTGCGTATTTAGAAACTTGAGGGTTATCGTGTTTGGTTTATCTGTGCGGTTGGTGAACTGTGTTCTCCAATCCCAGCTGTTTTTGTTTTTTGTTTGTTTGTTTTTTTGAGTGAAACTTGTCGGCTGTTAGCTTGAAGGATTTTGCTTTAAGAGAAGTAAAATGAAGGAATGTGAAAGTCTGAGTCAGCAGCAGCTGATGCTTGTTAGACATCATTACATCAGAGACTGATGGGTCCCCGGGGTCGCTTGTGCTGCACGAGAAGAGAGCGACACTGATAACTGGGTTGGTGGGGGAGGTGGATGCAGACTGCTGCACAGGGTCGGCTGAGTTGGACTTGGAGTTGTATTGGTTGGAGGCTTTCTGACACAATTCCCAGAGATGTTTGGATGAGTCAGAACTCTTACTCGTCTCTCTAAGAGTTTCATCAGACCTGCCCTGTGAGTCTGTCACTGAATCCCATCATGCTGAAATCACACCCTCTGAGATCTGCCATCAGTTTCAATTTGTGGACAAAGAGCTGCTACAAGAACATTCAAGGACAGCAGCTGTTATTTAACACAGGGATGCCCTGCAGCAAAGAATCACTGCTCCCATCAAAATTAACACACCTGATCCAAGATATAAGTATAAATAATCTCCCCACTGTGGTCTGGGTCTGCTGTAGGGTCTGAGCTCATCACCGTGGCTCTAATGCTTACAGATGAAGAAAGTCCATCTCAAGGGATGTTGTGACGTGTTTATAAACCAACAATTTCACTTTAGCCTTGAAAGACATGAATTCAATTAAAAAGTGTTGTTTAAAAAGTCATCAGAATGTTATCTCCGGCTTTAGCTGGAGTGATTCTCAGCAAGTGTGAAGCAGCTGGGATGAGAATCAGCTCCTCTAAATCTGAAACCATGGTCTTGAGTCAGAAAAGAGTAGAATGCCTTCTCCAGGTCAGGGATGAGGTCCTGCCTCAAGTTCAATTCAATTCAAGTTTATTTATATAGCGCCAAATCACGACAAAAGTTGTCTCAAGGCACTTCACATAATAAACATTCCAATACAGGTCAGTTCATTAAGCCAATCAGAAAAAAGTTTCGTATATAAGGAACCCAGCAAATTGCATCGAGTCATTGACTAGTGTCAGTGACTTTACAACAATCCTCATACTAAGCAAGCATGCAGCGACAGTGGAGAGGAAAACTCCCTTTTAACAGGAAGAAACCTCCAGAGGATCCTGGCTCAGTATAAGCAGCCATCTTCCACGACTCACTGGGGATGGAGAATACAGAGCAGACACACACACACACTCACGCACAACACACACACACACACACACACACACACACACACACACACACACACACACACAACACACGCAACACACACACACCAAGTAGTGTTTCTATGGTAACATTGTGATTTCTTAGTAAATATTCTATTTGGTGAGTTATAAACTTTATTGTATTTATCTTAGTAGATCTATAATTAAACAGTTAAACTAGTAGCAGCACATTCAATGTCAAAGAAAGTAAAATATTATCAGGAGAGGGAGAATGATTAAATGATTAGCAACAGTGTTCAAGCCGATGGCCCCCTCCATGAGGCCACCACAGCTCAGCAGAACATCATTGTAGCTTCTTCTGGGGAGAAAAAACAGAGAAAAAATAAAGTTAAAAGCTGAAATAGCAGGAAATAATACAGTTAAAGAGCAGATTGTAGAAGAAAGTAGTCGAGTGTGGAAAGTGGTCAGTGTGTCCTCCAGCAGTCTAAGCCTATAGCAGCATAACTACAGAGATAACTCTGGATAACCTAGCCTTTTAGATGGAGGCATGTTGGAGGCAGGGCAAGGGAGAGCCGTCTTTACCGACTGTACACTACACCTCCCTCTACTCCCCCACTTGTCCAGATCTAGGTTAACATCAGATTTTACCCATAGGCCCTATCAAATAAAAATGTTTTAAGCCTAGTCTTAAAAGTAGACAAGGTGTCTGCCTCACAGACTAAAGCTGGGAGCTGGTTCCACAGGAGAGGAGCCTGATAACTAAAAGATCTGCTCCACCTGAATCCGAGGTTCGACAATCCGCCGTACCCTCCTCTCCAGAACCCCAAAATAGATTTTACCAAGGAGGCCCAGGAGTGTGATCTCCCTGTAGTTGGAACACATCTTGCGGTCCCCCTTTTTAACCACCCCAGTCTGCTAATCTAGTGAAACTGCCCCCATGTTCACGCGATATTGCAGAGCCTCGTCAGCCAACACAGCCCTACGACATCCAGAATCTTAAGGAACTCCGGGCAGGTCTCATCCACCCCTGAAGCTTTGTCACCCAAAGTCCCCGGACCATTCTTCCTCACTAGAAGACGTGCTGGTGGAATTGAGGGGGTCTTTTATCTCATCTGTAAAGTTTATAGACAAAAGACAAGATTTAGGAATGCATAATAAGATGAATGAATTCAGTCTTCTTGAAAAAACTCTCGTTTGTAGTGTTATGTTTTGTTTTCAGTGTTTTGTTTTTTCCCTGTTTAATTCTACATTTTTAAATTGAACTCTTCTTGTTTTGCTCCTATTTGGATTAAAAAGGAGTCTGTTTTAGTACATTTTAAAGCAGAATTTTTTTCTGAAAGTATAAACCATATTAGTTGTATATTTGTCCATTTAAAAAAAAAGTTTATGACGGGGGACATATTTAGATGTAACACCCTACCTGTTCTTAATCGAGCTGCATTATGGGCTACTCCACGCTAGATGGCGCCAGAGTGGAGACTTCTTTAGTGACTGCTGCTGTGTAAACGTCCGACAGTCGCCGCTAAAACTACAGAAACTGTGGCGTTTCTTTGCCAAAATATATCCCACAATCCCTCCTCACCGGGTGGTGTATTCATTTGAATGGTAAAACAGACTTGCTAACACGGACGGGAGGTGAACTTTCAGTTTTACCTGGTTTTCGGCTTTCGGATTTACACACCCGAGGGGACCTGTTGGATTTAACAAAATGAACCGGTTGGTATTTAAATCTACCATGTAAATGGAGAAATATACGCTTTTCTTAATTACCTAGCATGAAGTTGTAAATTGCCTGAGGTGGAATGCTAACCCTTTTAGCGCGGCCCAGCTAGTTACTTTCCACGTCTCGGTGTTTTCTTCATAATTAAGCTAAATGCTATTAGTCGAAGCTAAAAATACCGTCATTGTTGACGCATGAAGCAGCTTTATAGCTGAGAAATGCAGTGTTTCCATTTTCCTAACTTGATTGTTTCATGTTTAGCGAAGAAAAAAGTAGCTTTTAACTTTTGCTGCAGTATATTGAGCTTAAAGCGGCCAAAGCCTCAGAGTTTATTCCAAGTTAAGCGTCTGTTTATCGATCTGGATCACTCTGCACCGTAGCTCGGAGGCTAGCTAAAAGTTAGCCAACATGTTAAGTTAGCGTTGGAAACAGCAGTTTTATTATCAATGATTGTCCTAATTTTCTGTCCCAACAGCGTCCCTTATTATGGCATTTGGTAAGCATGTTTGCCGACAGAAAGCCTTTAATGTCAGCAACCATAAATCCAATGGCTTTCAGCGAACCTGTCTGCACGTTTCTACTGAAAAGATCATGAAGCAGGTATGAAGCCACAGAACCAACAGCTTTGTTGTATTAAATGCAGTACTTGTTTGGTTTAGTCCTGGTGACAGTGAAGTGCCGTTCAGTGGTGTTGTAGTAGAGACTGTGGGAGTGGCCTCATCCCCTATCCTTTTGTTTTAGGTGGAAATTAAAAATAAGGAAGAATTAGATAAGAACAGGTGAGTCTTTAATCCACATGTGGGGTTCATCCAAATGTGATCATTCACTCATTCTGCCACAGATCACCCCTTCCAGCCACGGGAACCTTCAGACATCTTTCCATGACCATATATCACAACGTCTGTGACCCTAAACGTTGTTTTTAAACTTTCACGGCCTGCGCTAATCTCCATGTCTCTTTTGGCAGATTTCCGGTGCATTTCAGAAAGCAGAGTCCAGGCAAAGTGAAGCGGTTGTCGTTTTGCAAGAGGAAGAGTTGTTCGTCAGTGGAGGTGGGCACAAAGCTTCACTGCAGGTTGTCAGATGTAGGCCGTCCCCGTGACCCCGGCATGGCCAACAAAGAAAATGAGCTGTCGTGCTCCGATGATGTGCGGGGCATTCGCTGCTATGATAACCACGGGCTGCTGGTGAACTCTGCAGAGGCTTCCAAGATGGCAGGGGCCAGCTCTAAGTACAGCGACTTCACTGAGGTGAGAAACTGATCTGAAGCTGAGTGTTAGTTGGAAAAACACCACCCTGTTTGAGCCGTCGTTGGTTGTTTGTTTCTGAGTAGTTATCGAAGGAACACGAAGCTATGTCTCGCATCCTTTTTGGAAGAGATCTTCGACTTAAAGTTGCACTAACATTATGGCGAAGAAATGCCAGTGAATTGGTGTCCTATCTAATAAGGTAAAAGCACCACTCACATTTGGTGTTTAGTGTTTATTTGTCAGTTACATGTTATTGTTTTTGCTTCCCAGAATACAAGACACAAGTGTTCTGCTCGACTGCTTACCGGTCTTAACAAACAAGTAAGTCACATTTGGCTTTTACCTCATGGTTGTTCATTCTAAAGTTTTAAGTTTAATATTTACTATGCCTCTGAAAGGTGGGCGATTCACGTGTCTGCTTTCCATCGCATGTGGTTTTTTCTGTTTCATCAGCCTTCAAACTGAAACGCCGTGTTTGTCACTTGGCTGCTGTGTTGACCTCATGCCTCACGTCAAAGTGGTTCTCTCCAGTAAACATGAAGAGTAAGTATATTATTCTGACACCTTAGCTTGTTTGAGCTAGCTTGTGCCGTCAGAAACATTCAAACCGTTTTTAAAAGAGAAGTTGAGCTTTTAAGTCAACTAAAGTGCGCAACTCCGCACTCGCGCTGATGAAGCGTAAACCAAGCTTTAGAAACCAGCCTGAACCTGCTGATGTGGGAGGAGTCTCTCTCTCCCCTACTCAACTACGTTCTCTCTCTCTCTCTGTCCCGGGCTCACCTATGGTGCCATTATTATCGGCTCTAGCAGCGCTGTGTGTGGGAACATAAAACAGGGAAATCAACCTGAACATGCAGCTTTGGCAGCTGTGGAGTTGGGCTCAGCTCTGGACGGTACACCCCACCCCCCTCCCCCGCGCTGGCTTTTGCTGCCGCCATAACACGGGGAAAACCCCGGATGTAAAAAATAGTTGCACTACTGATCCTGGATCAGTCAAAAACGCAGTTTTGACGCTCACGTGATCGTGCTGTTTGAAATCGCAATTTCGGTCCAAAAACGATAGATCGTTCAGCCCTAATTTCGGTCCACCAGTAAAACGCTTTCTGCGTATACTCCTCAATAAAACGTTCATATTTAAGAGTTTTTCCGTGAAGTAATCTTCAAGTTGCTCTGTGTGCTGCTAGATATCTTCAGCTCTCTTTGTGTTTTGGGCCCATTGGCTGTGCTGTTGTCAAAAGCAGCATCCTGACCAATCACAAGCTTACGTTCTCTGTCTTGTTCAACGGGTGTTTAGAAAAGTGTGTTTGACTCCGTCCGTCCGTGCGAGGGCTCTCCAGCAGGCTTGCAATGGCGTTGAGTGGGCTTTAAGGTTGCATTTGTGACTGAATGTCATATAATCAGGATATCTAGATGTTCGAACTTCATTGTTCTGTTTTTCTTATAGACACATAACCGCAGGTTTACACTGGATCCAGTCTGTCGTCAAAAAGTGGTGGCCAGATCTTTCTAAAAGTGAGAAGAGACTGCGGGACAGTTGTTCAGATGACAGGTGAGCATTTTAGTAAAGGACAGCAGGTGATTTTATTTTTAATGGCTCAAACTTCTGTGATGGATGTCAGAACAGACAGCTGTGATGCTCAGAATATACCCCAGTGCACACGTTAGAGTACTGGAACGAACTGGTGCCCAGTACTACATGACGTCATCTAGAGCGGGCGTATAAAAGTATGGTCCAATAGCATTTCTCTAGCTAGATTTTGTCCCTCCAACAGACTCGGCTTATTTTAAAATGTTGTGCTAAGATTTGTGCCTTTTGGGCATTTTTTGAGCAAGACACATAAAAACAATTTTTACGTTTTTGTGGCCTGTGAAGACTTGTTACTCGTCTTGAAAAGTTCAAATATGGAAAAATAAAACGATTAAACCTGCATGGAAATAAAAGCAATAGAGTTATTTGTTATTGTGAGGCTTTGGTGCGTTCTGTTGTCAAAACCAGTAAACAGAACCTGAAATTGGTCTAGAGAGAGACTTGGTTCAGATAAAATCTGGAGACTAAAAGTTTGGAGAGTTTTCAGGATTCAAAGTTTTTATTGTCTCCAGAAAATCAACTAAACCTTTTGGGCATGAAGATTTAGTTTCATGTGAAATCATCATGCTGCTTAGTAACATGAATCCAGTTCTCCACATGACAGAAATATTACGAAATACGGGATCATTGGTATCATTTTTTTATTTCAGAAACATTGAGATGATGAGACAGCGACTGAAGGACTTGTGGAAGGAAGGATCTCGATTATGTTCGGTTCCAGGATCTATTGGAGAACTGGCAAAGGTATAAATGACATCCTTAATATATCCATCATGAGTTTTCTTTTATACAAGGTTCTTACAGGGGCCATAAATCATTCAAAGTGCTTCAATTCTAATGTATTTTCAAGGTTTTATCACATTTCTGTTTGAAAATGATTTCATAAGTGCGTGTTAAATCTAACACTACATCTTATAATGCTGACTTTTTCCATCTAGCTGTACTAATAACGATGTGCTGACTCTTGTTTTGCAGGCCATTGAGGCGTACCTGTTGCAGCTGCCCTGACAGGAGTTGCTGAAGCACTCCGAGGATAAGACCACTACTGCTGATCACGGTTGTGTTTTCAACTGATAATGTTGCCAGAGAGATGGACTGGTGCATTCTCTTCACACTCAAACCTCTTATCTGGGACTGAACTTGACAATTCAGACAGATCTTCTCAGTTTGGGAGCTGAGGACTCCTGAGGAGGGCTTCAACGTCCTGCCTGCACAGCAAATGACTGCTTCACATTGAAGTGGACCGTCTGGTGAAGGGGCACGTTTAGTGGACCTGGTGAGACAGGGTGTAATGTCGCTCTATGAAGTGCCAATGTCTTTGTCTCTTCCTGTGCCGCTCTGCGTTGTTTTCTATGCCCTGCTGTTTTTTTTTTTTGTTGTTTGTTTTTCACCTGGTTTCTCTGGAATCGGGAACTTGAATCTCCACCTGTCTTTAAGTTATTACCAGTGCTTGTTTTCATTTTGCCTCTTCCTGTGATGTTTGATTATATAATGTAAACTGTCAAAACAAATTATTCTTTTAATTTTCTTTTAAATAAATCTCTTTGACTAAATCTGAACAATGTTGAAGCAGGTTTTCTAATGATGTTTCAGGGGATGTTCGTCCTTAGAGGTATAGGAAACTCATCTAATGAGTACATGTGCACTGGTCTCTGATAGGAACGAATGCCTTGCAAGCCATACTTGGGGCTAAAAAAGCTCCGGTGCACCATTTTCAGAAGTTAGAAGTGAGCCACATCAGAGCTGAGCTTCAGCAGGAACTGGAGTCTTATTTCCTGATATTTGGACATCTTGCTTCAGATTGGATAACAGCAACATGACTATACCACTGATGTGCAACGTTGATATTTTATCTCTACAAATAACAAGCCTGGAGTTTTTCCTGTGTCATGGTCTTGCTAATGCTAACAGTTAGCGTCTACTAGTTGGGTCACTGTGTGCTGATTCCTGTTTAAACAACAGCCTTCCCCATTGTGAGTCAAGATGGGTGAGTCCATGAATGTTAACTCATTCACTGCCATTGACGACAAAAGTCATTTTAAATCCAAGCGTTTACTGCCAATGATGTCATTTGTAATTTTTTTTACTGTGTGGGCGTCGGACGAGCCCCCGCACCGTAAGAACAAACATCTTAGCTCTAAAGCCGATTTTCATCCGCATACGTCACGTGATCAGGAAGCAGAAATCCATGTGTTAGGAGATCGTGTTGGCCCGCTGCTGTAAAAAAAAGTGAGGCGCGAACTGGAAAAGCTTCTGCCGATCACAATTCAACAACGGATTATGAAAGAACGGATATTGCTCAAAACACGCAGATTCTTCCTGATGTGAGAAGTGAGTCTCCGCTTTGTTTTGGTTGTTTTGGTGCCGACATCAGCCTAGCGCGCAACATTATGTGACTCTTAAAAAACGGTAGAAACGCTGGCAGCAAATGAGTTAAGTGACAGTGTGACGTAGATCTGTCAGGCTTTTCTAAACCTAGAGTTTCACTGTCTTATCAGATGCTAATGCAGGAGATGGGTGTAGTCTCGAGGATGGCACTTGGACCAGAACTGTGCTGTTGTGTCCTGGCAACGAGCGCTGCTTCTTGCTAGAGTTAAAAATATGACCTGACATAAAAATAAGTCTAGTTTCCTTAAATAACAAAAACATATTATTTGAATTATACTTGGCCCACTTTTGATCAGAAATATTAAATACTAGCATATCGCACTCTTTAATGAACAAAAAAGTTAATTCTCCATCAGAACAGACCAACGGTGCTTTTATTTTGATAATAGGTTAGCTAATTAGCATTTTGAGGGATCGTGGAGAGTAAACAGACACAGAAAAATGTACAGTTTACACACAATTATTTACAATAAGACAAATTTATATTATTTTATTTATATTTCTAATTTAAAACATTACAGTTTTTAGCTTTCTCCTCTGACGTTTGGAGTGTAACGGTTTGCGATGCAATGCATTATTGGAAACTTTGCTGTACGCAGAAGGATGAATTGATGCATCCTCGATACAATGGGCGGAGCAAGAACACATCTGGGAACTTTGAGCGAACTTGCCGTTATGCATACTTAGGATTGAAACAGTCCTTGGGCCATCGTTGATGACATTTCACAAGGACGTGAGTACACAAGTTCTGACAAGTTTGCATATTGAGGAATGGCAACACAATGACTTTGTGACATAATATATATCAGCTAATGTCATAGTGTGCCTCTTAGCCAATAGCGATGGCAGATTTAAATTAAAATGCAGTGCAGAGTTTTTACCTGAAGAGGGTGCAACACTGACAGTTTTAGGCAGAATATTAAAATTTTAACTAAGATGCACTAAAGTGCCAAATTATTGACTACACTGTCTTCAGCATGATGATTAGATTTATAGTTTATCAGCAAAAAAAAATTGAGTTGGGGTAACTTGCTGTTTAAAAGCCAGATATGAATTTTGACTACAATGAAATATTAAATTTTGATTCATATATTCAAATTGTCCGTATTTAAATGATATATTTCCTAAAGTTGGTGTCACAATGTTCCCGCTTTAACTTTGTCAATGTCCAATTGACCAATAAAGTTTTTCACAGAGACGTCACTTCCCCCAGAGACAGCTGATGTAAAAATCTTCCATTTCTGTACAAGCGGTCCTGGTTTACATATCTGCGGAGGTTTTTCTGAGGTTGTTTTCATTTTTGTGTAACGGAAGACGGACAGTATGTTGTCCAGAGGAAGTTTATCACGGTTATGGCTGTTCGTACATGCTACGTTTGTCGTGGTCAGCTGTTTCACTGACATGGAGCCAGGATCTGGTGTTGGAGTATCATCACAGCCGAACGGAGATCGTTTCAAAATCGAGGGAAGAGCGATAGTTCCCGGCGTAAAAACACACGACTGGGTCTCCTCGGCCAGAGTCCTGGTTGAAGGTGAAGAACACGTTGGGTTTTTGAGGTAAGAAGCGGCTACACCTGAGGCCGTTTTCGGCTAGCCCGGTTGCTAACCAGCTAGCATCTTGGAATTACGCAGTTGTTTACCGAACACAGAGGCTTGAAACTATATTTTAAATAATGCTTTAAAAGGGAATGTAACGCTGTTTGGCCTGTAACTGAACATTATGTTCATTACGAACTCAAATAAGATAAGAAATTACGATGGCCTCAGAGACGAGACTGGTCTTTGCCTCGTCGCCATGTTTACCACAAAATAGCAATAGTTGCTATGTCCTATGTTGTTTTAATGGTATATGCATTAATATTGTTTCTGGAATATAAACACATATAGGAATCAACCAAATTTACCTCCCTTTAACTAATCTTGCAAACATTTATACCAAATGTAATCTTTACTGGCCTGTTAAGTGTTATCTTCTAGAAACTGAGTTTTATGCATTATTTGTTCCCTGATGATGTAACCAATTACAACACATCACCAGTCCTTTAAACAACCATGCAGTGCATATGAAGGCAGCTAGACAAATGTACAATCTCGAAAATAACATTTGGTGAGAATGTGTTGTGACTTCTGCTTTAAAATAAAATTAATCTGTTTTTCTTTTAGAACTGATGGGAGTTTTGCAGTGAATGACGTTCCTTCCGGTTCTTATGTTGTTGAAGTTGTCACCCCGACATACAGATTTGAACCCGTACGCGTTGACATCACTTCAAAAGGGAAAATGAGGTAAGTTAATATTTTAGTCATTAGAAACCAGAAAAGGTGCGTTTGGGTTTAATGTTGTAATTTCTTGGTGTTGTGATTGAACTTTTATTCTCTCACAGGGCCCGTCTTGTGAATTACATTAAGACCTCAGAAGTGATTCGACAGCCCTACCCTCTCCAGATCAGGTCTGTTGGTCCTCACAGTTACTTTATGAAGAGAGAAACTTGGGGTTGGACAGACTTCCTCATGAACCCAATGGTAATAAACTCCACTAAACCTCATGAATACTGAATATTTGTTTCGTAAGTGGGTCAAAGTTGAGTAAAAACCTAATTTGATTTTCTGTCTGTTGTTTTTTAGGTTATGATGATGGTTTTACCCCTGCTGATCATCGTGTTGCTGCCTAAGGTGGTCAACACCAACGACCCAGAGATGAGGAAGGTACAACATACCATCAAGTTTCTTATTCTACATTTGAAAATTACAAATTAATGTGTGATAGGTCATTGTGGCTAAATAATATCACCATTTTGACATTAAACATAAAATAAAATGTATTTTCCCAGATGTTTGATTTTCCGTCATCTTTGCAGGAAATGGAGCAGTCCATGAACATGCTGAACTCCAACCCTGAGCTCCCAGACGTCTCTGAGCTCATGACCAAGCTCTTCTCTGGGTCCAAGGGCTCCAGCAAGGCTGGCAGCAGCAGCAAGAGCAGCAGGACAGTCACTAAGCGGAGGTAGTAACGCTGAGATCACTCTGGGCACTGATGGAAGATTTGAAGTGTCATTTTGTTCCTCCTCATCTGAGTCTATTGTACAGATTTATCAATAAATGTTACGTGCACATCTTCTATTTGGAACGGAGCTGAACCTTTTCTTCTGCACTGGTTAAAAATAGCAAAAGCTGTTATTCTATATCTACTTCCTGCTTGTAATAACAGTTTATCGGTCGAATCCTTCCTAACCCTTTGCTGCGTATTTTCCCTCTGCTGCTAAATTCCTCTTATCTGAAAAGCAAGAGCGTATATGCATATTAAAAGTTTCTCTCTTATTTTGTTGGTTTTAGAAAATCCGACTGTGAATGACCATGAATTAAAATTTAAGATTGATAAATTCTTATTTAAAATTCTAGATAAGTCAATTACAAATGTATAGAAGTGTTTTTATTTCAGATGCGCCTATTTGTCTGGGATTGTCATTTCATTTAAAGTCATTGTGAGGTACTGTATGGCTATAACCTTCATACAATATGTGCCTGAGATGTACAAAGTAAAGCGATTAGCCTAAAACTGTGTGGTTGTTTTTCTGGTCTCTATGGCGTTTTACTGGTTTCACTTAAAATAAACTAGTGAGTAAAGTCCTGAACGACCATGTTAGCGTAAAATATCTGGCTTTAGACGTTGTTGCCAGAACTGAGGTGAATTTTTTTTTTTTTAGATCTGTTCTTGCATTTTATTTTTTAGAATTTTAAACACTATAATTTTTTACTACTCCTCTCTGGTTTCCCTAACTGGACATCTTGGATCTACGAAACAAATTAGCACATCCTTTATAGAAAAGTTAAAAAGGTGACTAAGAAGTTTGTGCTTCGATGCAGCTTTATCTTGACGGCTAAAGTTTACAGGGTATCCGTGGGTCCTTAAAAAGTCTTAAATTTGCTTTTCCAAATTTAAGGCCTTAAAAATCCTTAAAAATGACAAATAATCCTTAAATACAGTTTCCAAAGGTCTTAAATTACCAAAGACCCAATAAACAAGATTATTTTATTTCAATTTTCATGAATTTCTAGTTAGTGTTCAGCATTTTTTGTGTATGATATTGGCATAAGCGGAACCGTACTCATTCAGTTGGTTGTGAAAGGAGGCTTTTTTTAGATGAGCAAATTAGCTGGTTAAGCTAGTGGGAGATTGCGCCATGGGGACGTGCAACTTTTATGGTAACTGGATGGTTAATCCCACATTTGCAATAGCTGGAAATTATAGTTTAAATTTAATTTCAAAAAGTAGCTTAAATTTGGTCAAATTGGCCTTAAAAAAGGTCTTAAAAAGTCTTAAATTTGGCTCCCTTAAACCTGCAGATACCCTGGTTTAATAAAGATGAAAATGTCTTTCTTATAACTTAATTTTCAGACTCGTGAGAACTGTTAACAGGACTTTAAACTTCAAAGATTTACAGAAGGGACTTTTACTAGAAATAAGTGCATGCAATGCAATGTCGTAGAGGTTACGCATGAATAAGAAGTCATAAAAGAGAATTATTGAGCTGGTTTTCAGATTTGAGTTTTTTGACAAGTGAGGTGGGCCGGCCAAAGCTCATGAATTCACAAAATGGCTCATTGTTTTATTCTTTATAAAAGGTATAAAAATATATTTATATAAAGGACATGAGTGGACATGTAAGCACAGCAGAGGCTGTACATCCTCAGAGCTCAGGAGGAAGCTGCTGGTGGTGTGCTACAACCATCAAGAGCATCCTCCAGGACAGCATCTCTGCTCTGCTGTGGATAAAAAGGACCTAAAGAGTCAGAAACTCAGTAGGAAAGATCACTGGCTATCATCTGCACTGCCCAGAGTATCCACTACATCAGCAGAGCCAAAGACTATGCATCATCAAAGACCCCGCCCATCCTGCTCACCACCTTGTTGATCTGCCACCAGGTCGGCTCTACCAACGACTCTAAAGCAAGAAACAGCAGGCCGAGGGAGAACTTCCACACGTCAATCAGGACAGTTAATACACTTTTAACACGTTTGGCAATATTAAAATCACTACAACTTGAAAAATGTTTACTGCTACTCCATCAAAGTGATTTAAACCACTTTATCCAGGAACGATTGATACATATTTCTATTTTCCTTAAATCTTCTCCATCTGTCATTTCCAATACACCATTTGAGTGCCATCCACTTTCAGTGCGTTTATGATTATGACAAAGGCTTTCTTACTCTCATAAGTAAACCCAAAATACAGATCAACAAATACAGTAAAGCAACATTCAGCAGGGTTTTAAAGAAAGTTCTTAAATACTTTGTTGATCAAAACAGTTTTTCCATTAGTCCTAAAGAAAAGAGGAAATTAATTTTCCTGATTCATATTAAATCAGATAAACCTTGAAGGTTTGATTGAAATCCAGCTACTGAAGAAGTATTAAAAGATGTTTGTTTGCTTTTTTTCTGTTTGCATTTTCAATCACAACCAACCAGTGGTGGTTGGACTTGCATGAATAACTTTAATTTCTCTCTGGGATTAATAAAATATCTTTGAATTTGAATTGAATTGAATTGAATTTGAATGAATGGGGACTTCACCAATAGCTGCCGTATAAATGGAGCTTCATGAGTATAACGCAACAAACCTGCTGTTTCCATGGCAACACAGTTTCTGAAAACACGTGCAAACATAAGAAAGTGAGTGTACACATACTGAAGTGATGTGCTCCATCATTTATTAATATAATTATTTCTAATTAATTCTTCAAAACATTCCCGATCAGAGTAAGAATAGTTATTTAAGGTAGAAGATTGGTAGACCCCAAGGTCAACAGAAAAGTTAAAATCATCTAAATATATAACAACTACACCCAGAAATAGCACAGAGGACGAGTGTGAAACACGCCCTCTAGTGACCGGTTGCAGTACTAAGCCCCACCCTCAGCATGTGACTGAATGGGAGTGTTCTGAATATATACCTCAGGATTTTATATTGGGTGTTCAATGCTGACTCACCTTGCTGTTTATGTCAGTCCTGATGATAAAAGAACCAGATCCGATTCACATAAAAATGCACTACTCCCGTTTGTAATTGAAACATGTAAATCGTTTGGAATTTAGTTATTTTCCTGCAAACTTTTCAATCCTAAAATCCCCAAAAACTCCATGCTGATTCAGATTTTGTAGTAAAATGATGCACAGAGACCACAGAGAACTTTATTGTGCACCCAATCGTTTACAGTAGTAGCTGAATTTTCTAAAGCATGGTCGTTGTTATGAACAAAACTGTTATAAGATGCCCACGCAGTTGCAAAACACAAGACAAATAATGCAGTGTAAACAGCTGGTCAAAAATAGACCACAAACATAGGAAAGTACTGCATATCATAGATACCAAGACAGCAAAACACCAAGCAGCATTGGCAACATTTAGTAAGTGTACTCACCATTAACATAATGAGAAAATTCTAAATGATGGGACTGTAAAAATATTCTTGATACTTTTTATTGACTCGTGACCTTTTTGTTATGCTTGGATACATTATTGAGCAAAAGTATGATCCCCCTCACAGATTCCTCTTAGTTTTGTATTTGTCACACTTCAGTTTCAGATCAGCAGACAGATTTAAATATCAGACAAAGATAACATGAGTAAACACATAAAGCAGTTGTCAAAGACTGATTTCATTTATTCAGACATGTAGCATTAGAAATCTCTACAATAGAACCGGTCTGAAAACATGAAGTGGGCCAAAAGATCTCAAAAAGCAACACCGCATGTCCCGTACTAAAAATAAATGGAGAATGGCCTGTAGCACCTTCCTAGGGTTCTACAAACCCCCCCAAGGTGCTTCATAGCACAATCAGTCATTCACCCATTCACACGCACATTCAAAAGTTGGTGAGCTACAATGTAGCCATAGCTGTCCTGGGGCGTACTGACAGAAGTGAGGCTGCTGAACTCTGGCTCCACCGGTCCCTCTGACCACCATCAGCAGGCTAGGCAGATGTCTTGCCCTTGGGCACAACATCAGCATTCTCTGATCGGAGCCGAGATCAAACCTGCAACCTTCCGATTACTGGACAACCCGCTGTACCTCCTGAGAACCGTAGAACAACATCAAAAGCCAATATGTAATAGTCAGGGAGTGAAAAGGGCATTCATGGTAGAGTTTCTAAGATGACAATCTCACACTGACCCAAAAGATCTCGAGGCTCTCAAAAACATTCTGACTGCTGTCATTTTTTAAAAGTGCATCATTTTTAATCTGCTGTAAATCTAACACACTTCCGACAAAAGCACAGCAACAGTTAAACATGGTGGTGGTTGTGATATGATCTGGGACAACTTGCTGTAACTGATGCAACCACTGTGAATTCTGATTTCTACCACTAAATCCTAAAGAATGCCTGACATTTGACCTTAAACTGGCCATTTATGATAGAAAAATTTCCAATGTGGCTGAGCTGAAATAATTCTCAGCGACCAAAAAAGATCTGTAAAGGAGAAATATTTTATCTCCACTTTGACTTTGTCAGTATCAAAATTTGTAGGCATGTAAAGGCCTACAGAGAAATCCTCACATTCGGTCGGGTTTTACATAAAAACGCAGCTTTGCAGTAAAAAACAAAAAGGATTGTTTGTACATCCAAACCAACACAGGGAGAAATTATGGACATTCTGTACGAAGATGCACCACAAACAACTATTTCATGAAAAGGTCGGAATATCAAGAGTATATTCCACCAATTTAACATTGCACTAATGTAATACTCAATGGACTACTAAAAATCAGAATGAACACATTAGATCAAAGTCTTCTTCAGGCAGAGTCTGACACCTGCATTTACCACAATAAAACACAAGTACTGATGTTATTGTAAGAGTAAAGGCTCGCAGTTTGAAGACATCAAGCAGAGATGATGATTGTAGTGACTTCACACCTCCACATTGGCTATTTTTAAATAAAAACAAATCCAAGCTTTCTCTTTGATTCTTTTGTCATACAAAATTATGCTGAATCAACTTCTCCCTGAAATATCACAGACTGCTCATTTTTCACCATCATGCACTGTAAAACAAGCCACATGCCGCAATCATGCTGTGGATAAAATCTGGCAGACATGACCCCATTCTAACAGGAGGTCATCAATTAGTTTTGTTGTTGGCGTTTGGATTTTGCCCACCCCAATAAAGCTTTTCCTTGCCTCTCTTCCTCCTCCTCCATTGGCAGAGTAGAAGCATGCGGAATGTCTTCTGGAAGGTCTTGTTACAGAGAGCGTAGCACATGGGGTTGATGGTGCTGTTCACGTAGCACAGCCAGTAACCCAGGTGCCAGAGAGACACAGGGATGCACTCTGCACAGAAAGTGGAGATGAGCACCATGATGTTGTACGGCGTCCATGTGAGGATGAAGGCAAGGAGAATGGCGCTGAGGGTCTGGGCTGCTTTCTTCTCCTTCACGAGCACCATCCTCTTTCTCTTGGTGATCTGGTTCTTCAGGTTTGGGTCAATGGGTTTGGAGGTAGTGGAGGTGGTTTTTGCAGACTCATCTGCCTGAGGAGGGCACGGTGTTGGACTAGAGTTTCCATTCTTACTCTTTGATCCGAGTTTAAACTTGTAGGCGATGCACTTTTTGTAGTTCTTCTTTTGAGGTGTGGAAAAATACTTCCCTTCTGAATAATCTGGAACCTGCCCATTCTTCTGACTTTGTCCAGGATGCTGCTCTTTGAATGATCCTTGTGGGGTGCCTGTCGAAACATGATGCTCCTCTTCCTCTGAAGAGGTATAGCTGTTAAATGATGTGATCTGGTCTGCTTTTGCCCATGCTTCATCTGATCTCGTGGTGGTTTTAGTGGCATTACTTTGATTGGATGAAGACCAGGAAGCCTGACTCTGGTCTCTCTGCTCTCTGGTGAAATGAAAACAAGAATGAACGACGGTCTTCTGTGGTTTAGTCCCATCAGGAACGTTTCCTGCTGTGAGCCCTTGCAGCTCTGCAAGATCTTTAGTCCGTTTTTGTGTCTCCTTGTAGATCCTACAGTAGAGGATGGTCATGATCGAGACAGGGATGTAGAATGCGGCAATGGCTGTTCCAAATGTGATCACGGGCTCGGTTAAAAACTGGATTTGGCATTGGTCTGGAGGCACGTTTCTTTCTCCCACAAAGTACTGCCAGCACAAAATTGGTGGTGCCCAAAGGACAAAAGACACCAGCCAAGCCAGACCAATCATGATGGCAGCCCTCTTTGGAGTCCTTTTTGCCCTGTATGTCAATGGCCTTGTAATGGAAAAGTATCTGTCAAAGCTAATGACTAGTAAGTTCATAACTGAAGCATTGCTGGCTACATAGTCTACTGCTAGCCAGAGGTCACAAGCAATGTTGCCCAAGGACCAGTAGCCCATCAGTATATAAGTAGTATATAAGTTCATGGACAGTACTCCTATGATGAGGTCGGCAAAGGCCAAACTTAGCAGGTAGTAGTTGTTCACAGTTTTAAGCTGGCTGTTTACTTTGAAGGACAGCATCACCAGTACGTTTCCAACTATTGTTATCAAGCTGACGATAGCAGACACTGTAGCGATGGTTATGACCTCCCAAAGGCTGTGAGGGTATGAAGCGTTGCCTAAAGTGCTGTTTTGGAGATCCATTGCTTGTGTTATCTATTTGTGTTACAGGTGGGAAAGGCCTCTTTGTGAAGCCGTGTGGACTGAGCTGGCAGCCTAAAAAGAAAGGAGGACAAAAGTGAGATACAAAAATAGAATTTGCTTGTGTTAAATCAAACTGATATAAACTGCTTTTAATTTGTGAATGATAATACAACACAATGTCACTAGAAAAGTCAGAGTTTTACCATGTGTCTGTACGGATTCCATTATAAATTTACAAAATGGAATGTTAAAATATTTTTATTTATTAAATGATTGTAGGCAATTTTTACTTTTTTACTAATAGACCTAACATTTTACTTAAAAATATTTTAAATGTATGGATTATTGATGCAATGACAGGCCTGGAACTACTAAAGCGTTCGTAGGACACTATTCGACGCAACACCATTCAAGAGGTGTCACATGCTAAAGTACTCGGGCTCACTTAGTTCTTACAGTTCTCAACAACAGTAATGGAGGGCAGAGTTGTCCAAGGCAGAGGAAGCTGGAGGAAAGGCGGCCGGGGTGGAAACGACACCGAACACAGAAGCCGGGGGAGAGGAGGCCACCATCGTGGCCGGGGTAAACGAGACCACCACCGGGGTCGAGGACGCGGTGGAGGCTCGCGTGCAGACTTCCCTAATCGGGTGAGCGTCACCGACAGTTCCAAACTTCATTGAAAAATTAGAAAATCTTTCAAATTTTTGTCACCAATCAAATAAACCCAGTCAGCCACGATACTGCACGTCTAAACAAGCTTCGTTTTCAATTCGGGTTTATAACAAAATACTTAAATTTCGATTTTAGCCAGTTACAAGATGTTTTTGGTACACATTCATGGCAGCAACTTGAAGAAAAGCATAATAATGCTTTCTACACAGATGCTGAGTCTTCATTTAAGACTTGAAGCTTCAGCTCAATATCTTCACAGATGTTCATGTAGATGATGAAGAGGATGATGATGCTTCTGACAGAATTAGAGGAAAAACAATAGGGGCTCCTTGATTGCAATCATAGAAAAAACTTTTGGTACATAGAGGCTCCTTGATTGCAATCATAAAACTCTCCCTGGTGCATCCATACCTGCCATGTGGTCTCTTGATGACATGGCTGGAACAAATCTGCACCATTTTACTCAGACTTGTGAGGGCACAACAACACGAGAACTCAGGTGTCGCATCTCCACTGCATCACTATTAAAGCATTTCTGCAGACAAACAGGAAGCATGTGACTCATGCAAACTTAATGAGTTCATTTTGGCACTGGCTTCTGTTTGTTTTTATTTTTATCGGCAACTGAACCCGCCTTACAATCTCTCCATTGTTTTATAGTACAGTTATGAGAGGTCCTCAGTTAATGGTCAGTTTATATAACAGTCAGTGGGGGCTGGACGATATAGAAAAAAAGCTTATCGATAAAAAAAAAACTCATATTGATTGATATCAATAATTATTAAACTATGTGAAAAATGTCACATATATTTTAAGTGCAGCCCTGCTCATCTTAGGCCATTAAATGAAAAAACAAGTTGGTTGCATTACCAGACTTGTTTTTTATTTATTCTCTGTTGCAAACCACCGTTGTTTGTTTTTTTGTCAGACTGAAAATGTTGCCACAGTGGTGAAGCACTCTAACCTTTTACGGGACAATTTCTCCCACCTCTTGCTGCAGCATCTTGTTTAAGTCACGTTGCTGTCTGTTTAGGTTTGAGAGGGGAGGGCTTGGTGGTGAAGTGTGCTTGGGTCTGTGTTTTTGATTGGTTGAATGAAAGTAATGACTCTAGTATGAAGCTACTAGAGATGTAAGAAAATATTGATAGGGCAATATGTGGTGATATCTTTTCCTGCGATATTATATCGATATTCAAAAGCTGTGTATCTAATTTTTTTAAAGAATTTACATGCAAACATTTGTGTATTTTCTTGTCTTTTGGTGCAATTCAAATTTTCCATTGAACCACATGTCTATTGATCGATATATATCGTTATTTATTGTCCAGCCCTATTCCAGACTTTGCAAAAAAAAAACTCTTATCTTGAAATCTAAACCAGTTAAGTTATTGGCAGAAGCAAACCTGTAGACTCATCACCCTTTCCTGATTTTAAAGCCACTATCTTTCTTGTTTTTGTCATTTTACAAAGAAAAATAATAAATCTAATAGAGATTTTTGTGCACAGGCCAAACTGTTGATAATAATTCTTCCCGGAACCTCCAGGTGCTGTACGAACTCCATCTTTTTCTGTTTTTTAAAGCTACTGTGCACATCAGAAACAAAGAGCAGTATTTGCTTGCACAATGCTTAACTTTTAATGATTATTTCTCTTTCTTATACCAGGTAGCTTTTTCTTTAGTTATTTATCCTTCAGTTACAATCGGCACATCGATTCTTGTCATAGTTTATAAAATAAAAAACTTGTAGCAGGACAGATGCAGGGCAAGCAAAGTTTTTTTTTGTTTTATTCAGCTGTATTTTCTATTTAATCCATTGAATTGGTTAGTTTGGCTCAGAATGAAAAGAACATTTGAAACAAATTAATAATTTGTGTAACAGTAAAACTCTTCCAAATTCCTCCATTTTTTACTATACTGTTAAAACTATTAGTTTAGCTAATTTTCTTGTCTCTAATCGTTGTTAAACGGCGTCATCCCTCGAGGTTATGTCTCTTCTGTTTCATAGAAAAATATTTTCTAGCTTATTTAGAAGAAGAAGAAGAAGAAAAGATCTTTTCTATAGCGCCTCAAGATAAAAATCACGAGGCGCTTCACAAAAACAAAAAATGTAAAAATATAAAAAGAATTTTGAAAGTGAATAAAATATATATTTAAAATGAGCACAAAATAGAAAATTGTGATTCAAAAATGTAAAGAAAGAGAGAGTGAATAATGGATCCTGAGGAAGGTGGAATAGGTAGGGAGAGCAGAACAAGGAGAGGGTGATGAAGGTCACACCAAAACCAGCTTGAACAGGTGAGTTTTCAGCAGATTTTTAAAGGAGACCACTGAGTCCACTGATCTCAGGCTCAGGGGGAGAGAGTTCCAGAGTCTGGGGGCCACAGCAGCAAATGATCTGTCACCTTTGACCTTTAGCCTGGTGCTGCACAACCAGTAGGCTTTGGTCACTGGACCTCAGGGACCTGCTGGGGGTGTAGGGACTAAGAAGATCACCAATGTAAGATGGTGCTTGTCCATGTAAGGCCCTATAGACCAGAACCAGGATCTTGAAATGAATCCTGAAGTTGACTGGCAGCCAGTGAAGCTGGAGGAGAAGCGGGGTGATGTGGGTGTGTTTGGAGGACTTGGTCAGAAGCCTAGCACAGGCATTCTGAACCACCTGTAGACGGTTCAGGGAGGTTCTGCTCAGACACGTGAAAAGAGAGTTGCAGTAGTCTAAGCGTGAGGAGATGAAGGTGTGGAGAACTGTCTCAAGTTCAGAGCGGGACAGAATGGGACTCATTTACTAAGCCGTTGTTCTCCTTCAGAACCGAGACGAAGGGGAGAACTCTGATGGTGAAGATGAAGGGACAGCAGTGTTCTCCAGGAGGAAGTTGGAGTCAAACTGGGATCGTTACGAGGAGGCGGAAAGGGCAGAGGAAGAGAATGACATGCCCACTCGGAGAGGAACAGACTTCCATGAGCTTCTGGAGTCGGCAGGTAAGATGGGATGATGGCATAGCCTCCTGCACCTGCTCAGATCATTTGCTGCTGTAGCTCCTGAGTGTCAAACACACGTCTGAGTCTCATTGCTGCAATATGCTAAACTTTTCTCCATGTCCTAATTAGTTATGTTGTCTTAAGAGCATTTAATTGCTCTGTTTGGAAGCTGTTTTCTGTCAGATGGCTGCCTTGTTTGTCTTTGCTAATTTCATCCTCTGTAGTCCGTGCTCGGGATCCCTGAGCTCTCCACAGTCTCTAAATCAGTTGATATTTCATTCCCCAAAGGATCATGGGTAGGAGAGCACAGTACCAGCTCATTAGAGCGGAGCTTGAGATTTCATCAGACGTCGTCCTGACCTTGGCACCTAATGTACCCATCTCATGTTTGACTCGTGTTTCTAGTTGTTTTGGATGTGGTCAGAGGCTCTCTCTCTCTCTCTCTCGGTCTGCTTTTTGGAACAGTTCTCATTTAACAGCCACGAAGCGTGAAAGGCGGACTAGCTTATGCTTTAGTTGAGTGGCTGTTGGAGTTAATTAACTTTAAAAAGGAAACATGCCCCGTATGTTTTGCCACATTGTTAATTAAAGATGAAGGTAGATTACCGCACCTCACTAATCAGCTGATGAGCTCCACCAAGCAGCTTTTCCAGTAATTTTTTTTTCTAACCATCATCCTGAATATTCCCGTGATCTTGACCACATTGGATTTGCTTCTCATTTTCATAGAATCCATCTGTGTCACACTCTCTGACATTTGGCAGTTTGAAGCCTGAATCTGTTTTCCTGCTGTCACTTTGGATCCGTACTGCTTGTGTCGGCTCCACCAGAAGTACTGACTAGCCACCTCCTCAGAAATGTGGACTACCAGAGCCTGGAGGAGCTGTGATTGGTTCGCTTGGGCTGTCAGTGTATTCTCCATGGCATATGTCCACTTTTGAGACTGTTGATGGAGAGAATAACTTAAAACAAGTCTGCAATCGGCCCCTTTTTCTATAATGCTGCTTGATTTTTTTTCAGGGAAAGATTTTTTTCCCAGTCAAGCCTTCCAGTCTGTTGGAAGCCTAAAAATGCTAATAGAAGTGAAAAGTTGAGGCAAAAATCTACAATCTCATCAGGATGATGTCATTATCATTGCAGTTATTTTCACATATGTAATGGGGACATATTATGACTCATTTTTAAGCTAAAACATGTTCCTAAAGGTCTTTGCACGAACTTCCTCTGACATGACACATCACCCGCTTTGTTCTCGACAGTTTCAGTACCTTCCAGAATAAGCCATTTCAAGTCTGTCACTTTAAGGAAAACAAGCAGTTGCTGGCCACACCCCCCACAACCCTGATTGGCTGCTATGAACTGAGAAACTTAGATATTTTGGAGGGGCTCAGTGTAGAGCCGCTGATCCTCCAGCGTTGATGGGTGAGGATGAGTTAAATGCTAATTTCTCTTACTGTGACATCACAATTTGAGCCATTCCTCCATTTTCACCCACTTAACTCGAGTCTGGGTTGCAGGGGCAGTAGCCCCAGCACAGAGGGCCAAATCGTCCTTTTCCTGTTAACGTCCACGTGCAGGATTCCCGGGTGTTCCCTTGCCAAAGTGGAGTTATTAGGACCATTACCACTATGTGAGCTTCGGGGTAATTTTACTGGAACTTCACGGGCATTTACAAGTACCTCAGTGGGCCGGTTAAAGGACCACTATCAGGAATAGGGCTGCACGATATTAGGAAAACCTGCGATATGCGATAACGGTGATTAATATTGCGATGATGATATTACTTGCGATAAATAAAAACTTAATTGCGGAACAAAAATAATCAAAAACAAAGAAATAAAAAAAAAATGACAAAAAAATCATAAAAATGAGAAAAGATATGAGGAAAGGGAAAAAGAAAAAGAACAAGAAAAGGCAATCAGTGGATCCCGGGAAAAGCAGAAACAGCAGAAAGAGCAGAACAAAGCTAACGCAGGTGTTTGCTAACCATCAAAATTAAGTGTCGGGGGCGAGCATTGAACCTACGAGAACCCACACAATTGTCCAAATAAGCTTTATTTGATTTGTCAAAAAAACATCATGCTTCCGTTTGACAGAATGCATTATGTGTAGCAAACATTTGAGCTGACCATTCGTTACGATATTTATCTGTTCTTTGCGATATGCAGATAGAGCATGCTGATATCTCAATAACGATATATTTCAATTCAATTCAATAATACTTTATTAATCCCAGAAGGAAATTAAGAATAAAGATTTGCGATATATTGTGCAGCCCCAGTCAGGAACCAACATAATACGTGAGTCAAGGTAGGTACACAGAATGGCCCAGTAGAGTCGCTGAGTGGAACCTTTTGCTAACTCAGTAGGAAATGACATCAGTAGACATTACCCAAAAACAGTATTTGTAAAATTGGAAGAGTTGATGGTTCATTGGATTGGAAGGAAAAGAAAATAAGCAGTGTTCATGCTACTTTAAAATCAACATTAATAAACTCCCAACGACAAATTGCTGCAGAAATCACCCCACGACAACGTAATTCACAGATCTTGGTTGTCTCACAGTAAAAATGGAGCTTATGCTGGTCCTCAAACGTCACATCTTACATAATATAGCCGTTCTCCCGGTCCTCCGACTCAATTAAGTTATTCTTCCACAGAATAAAACTTTTAATGTTCTTAATGCATGGATGCCTTTTGGTGCTGATCAGTGACATCACTCAATGCCAGTGTATGCTGGCGTCTTCGTAAAGTCCAGAAAGAACTGAATTTGTATGGAGACACAGCAGCTGAGAGGACCGAGCATTCTTCTTCTTCTTCTTCTTCTTCTTCTACTTCTACTTCTACTTCTACTACTACTACTACTACTACTACTACTTCTACTACTACTAACACAGCTAATATCCCTCCAACATGTTCAGGGTTTTCCCAGGTGCCTTCTGCCTGCACGAAATGCCTGAAACACCTCCAGAGGGAGGTTTCCTGGAGTCATTGTGACCAAATTCCCAAACTGGCTCCTATTGATGTGGAGGAGTAGCGGCTCTACCGTGAGTTTCTCCCGCAAGTCAGAGCCCCTCACCCTGTCTGTAAGGCTGAGCCCAGCAGCTTCACGGGGAAAACCATTGTGTCTGCTTGAATTCGTGGTTTCGGTCATTAACCACAGCTCATGACTGAGTGAGGATTAGGATGAAGACCACCCGGTTAATTGAGAGCTTTGCTTTTTGCCTCAGCGTCCGCCTCACTGCAGACGTCACAGGAAGAGACTAATAGAAATGGCCTATCCTTCCTGAGACCAAACGCTGATAGAAACAGGTGAATGGTTTTATTCTCGTTGAAAGTGTTTATAGAGGCAGTAGACCCACATGATGGCACCACAAGAGGTGAGTTTTAAATGACAGGTCCCCTTTAAAGAATAAACTTGTGTTGGTGGTAACAAAGTTGTCCGAACACAGACCCTGAGTGCTACCTGATCATGTGACAACTTTATTTGTAAATCAACTATTTGCCAGTGGGATAATTTTTTGTCTATAAAATGACTAATGAATGACTGGCTGGATTTTATCAAAACTCATAAAGTCTTACTTGGATGTTATTAAGCGTTAGGGGACGACTTCCAAAGCAAATCTTACAAATAACTTTAGTTTCATAGATATTGAGGCACACTTTTGAGGTCCTAATACATTAGTTAAAGAGCAAGTCACCCCCTGCCAGAGTCTTACTCCACTCCCACTTACTGTTTGAAAAATGCAAAAAATGCTGTTGCCTGGAATACTGAAAGGGCAGAGCCGCTAACAAATACACACACACACACACACACACACACACACACACACACACACACACACACACACACACACACACACACACACACACACACACGACATTCTGACCTCATAATGTACCAGCTGACATCATGGTGTACTTCTTAGCCTATAGCAATAGCAGATTAAATTTAAATGCAGTGCAGAGTTTTTACCTGACAACTGTGCAACAATGACAGTTTTAGGCAGAATATTTAAATTTTAACTAAGATGCACTAAAGTGCCAAATTATTGACTGCATGTGTCTACAGCATGGTTAGACTAGGGCTGTCGCGGTTGAGGAATTCCCCCTGCGGTGATTCAGGGTGGCTTAATATTGCGGTGTGCGATATTATTGCAGCCCTTTTTTTATTGCAGTACTATCTAAACATAATGTTTACACATTTAAAAAAGGTTAAAAATTGCCGTGCCTTCTTTTATAACACTTTACTGAATGCAGATCAAAGGGCAGTAACAACACAGATCGCAGTAACGTTTGTTTCTCCGACAGTCGGAGTCCGACTGAACTTAAAAACAACAAAATTCAGATGGTTAAACTTTTAAATGCAAATTTGGCTGCAGCATCTAACAAATAAGAAACAAGTCCCCATTTTGTTTAGTTGTTTAAAATCAAGCATAAAAATTACATGTACCGGGCGCGCGCGCGCCGGGGGGCGGGCGCACCATCATTTCACTTTCACACACACGAATGACGGTGATTTATAGCTCGGTCACGTCCTTGTTACCTACAAGGAAAACCAGCATGTTAGCCATATACGGTTTGAGAGAGGATCTGAGAGGGGTGGCAACATTTCCAGCAACACTGAAAACCCTCTCGGATGGTGCGCTCGTTGCACTAACGCACACGTACTTGCGTGCGACTCTGCCGAGCAAAGGGAATCTCTCCCGGTTGTTGCTCCACCATGTCAGGGGGGGTTTCTTTAGGGTGGATGCATTCCTCCTGCAGGTAGCGAGTGAGCTCCAGCTCGGCTCAAACTCTCTTCGGGACGTTTGCAGAAGCAGTGCTTGTCCGGGACTTCAGCAGGTCTCCGAGCGTTTATTATTTATTTTTTGCCGCTGGTGGCAGCTCCGTCTCGGCCAAGGACTCTGGCTGCGCAGCAGCTGACGTACTGAAAACCAAAGTGCTCCCAAAGGAGCGAAGTAACGTTTCGTTTTGATACCAGTGCAGCCATCATTCTC